TGTTTGGGGATTATTCCCATCCTAGAAAAAGTACTCCCCTTCATAGGAATATAATAATTGTATATGTATACATACATATGTATGCATATTTAGGTTTAGTTTCAGTTTTCAAATGATGAAAGCTATAAACAAATTTGTCTTTTTTAAATCATTCATACCACTTGAAACTTTGTAATCATTCAATGCCACTCCCATATCTATAGTTTGGTGTTCATCTTTCTGGGCTCCCTCTATATATTTATATGTAAATATGTTTTGATAGCCACATATGTCTTATATTTTAATATCAGTAACTTCATAATAACCTTTCATTTAAAACTTAACCATATATGTTATTTATTTGACTTTAATATTTTTTATTTTTCAATTACAGTTTTACTATATGTCTTAGAATATCACTTTTATTTCTTGAGTTTTAAAGATGGTAAAATGTTTCATACTGTAGATGAACCATAGGTTTTGAAGTTTTTAATAGAGGATCACTAGTGATTCTTATTAGAGGATTACAACCCAAACTGTACTCGGAAACTTCAGGCATTAGGACAAGCAGGGAAAGGGGGTGTTGGGAAGCATCTGGGGATATATAGTACAGTTCAGTGTTTAGTACCTCAGACTTGAATCTAAACTGTCTGGCTTCTGGTCCCAAGTGCAATGTAAACTTGAGTAAGTGAAATTCTGTGGTTGGTTTTTCTCTCTAAAAGATGGGGGTACTGTTTACTTCAGAGGTCATAATGAGGATCCCAATCACAGTGCATATGAAAGAAAAAGCCTGGGACGTAGTAGGGACACATTAAATGTAACTATTATTCTTACTGTCACTTTTGCCTACCCACACTCAAACACTTTCTATTTCGAGGGAGTTTTTAAATAAAGGTCTTGCTTTCCATTGTGGAGAAACTCAAGTTGGGTGGATATTTCCAGCCCTCCCCCACCTCACTTTGGCAGTTCAAGCCTGTGACCTGGGTTCAGTCAATTTAGAGATCAGCTATGCAAAATACACAGGAGTTGACACCTGGGGGCTGCTTGTAAACACAGTAGGTCTTCTATCTGGAAGGTTCCTGTGGTGCCCTCTACCTGTGACCTCAGCTTGCCTTGGTCAGACTTGTTTCCTGACATTTGGGTTGGTTCTCTGAGCAGCCTGGTACCCGTCCAACAAATCCCACTTTCTCTTTAAGAAGAAAATTTGGTTTCTATAGTTTACAACTAAGGAACTTGATGATGCAGTATCCCCTCTGTATCCTTCTTTAATCTCACTATTCACTCAAAATATTTATTGAGGACTGTCTGTGTCTGACAGGAACACTAGAGCCTGTGAAATTGTTCCTCTTTAACAAATTCAAGGATATGCCTAGAAAAAATACATTCACATTAGGATACCCTGACCCAGCTGCAATGTACTTTTGGACCTGTCACTGGATTTAGGGCATTTTTATGAGTTGGAATCATGAGGCTGCTTATTTACACACACGCTTTGGAGGAAAAGTCAATTGTAAGGTAAATGGGAAATTAAATGGCTATTTATCACTCTTTTAAAAAGAGTTGTTTTTTTAAAAAAAAAAAATCTAATGAAACAATTTTGCATGTAGGAAAACCATATAAACAGGTGTTGTTCAGGAGTAATAATGTGGCAATTTCTGTATGAGTTTCTATGGAAACTCCCCCATCAAACTGACATTGGATTATTCTGCATAGAACAGTCTATTAACAATGGCTTCTGCCTGAAGTAATACCATCAGCCTACAAGGCTCTTTCCTTCTGACTCAATTCAAACCCAGCTTCTCATCAACTAAAAGAAAACCTCAGGTTAAATCTCCTTATATAACTATTTCTTAATCTCAGCTCTGTGTGGGCTAAAAAAAATATTAACACTTTGAGAACAGACAGTGCACTACAGAGGAATTGCCAAAAGTCCAAGTAACATTAAAAATATTTGCAATCTTACTAATAGTTAAAGAAATAAAAATTTAAACCATAATATGGTATCATATTTGCCAATTTAAAAAATACAATAAACCACGTGTTTTATGGACATGGAGAAACTGGAAATCCTATTTTGGCTGTTGGGAGTGTAAACTGGTCCTGCTAGTTCGGAGAATAATTAGGCAAGTTCCAGTAAAGAGGAAGATGCAAATTACTTTGGCCTGTCAATTTTAGTCCCAGAGAATGCTGGAGCATGTTTACAAGAACTTGTGTAAAAATGTTCAGTGTAAACTTATATGTCAGGGTAAAAAGCTGGAGACTTTCTAAGTGTACATGAAAAAGAGGATGACTATCTAGTGTTGGAGAACACAATTAAATGTTTATACAAAAGTGAAAATGAGTGTGAACAGCTTGATAGCATAAGAATAAATAAATCTCCCAAACAATCTATCTATATAAAAGGCTAATATGCAAATTTTCCCCTTGGGAGTTTGACCGGGAGACTGGGAGTTCAATCGCTTGCTATGATGTGTGCTGACCACCTGGGGGTAGTGCGGAATGAAGGAAGGCCTCAGTCAGCAGCTGGAAGGCCCCATCGGCCCTGATAGCTAGCCAGCCCTAGGGACCCTACCCATGCACGAATTTCCTGCACCAGGCCTCTAGTTTTAAGATAAAAAAGACAAGCTGTAGATGGTATGTACAGTATTGGCAGCATTTACATAAAAGTTAAAAATATGAAAAACAATACTAAATACACATATGGGAAAATATGTAGTAACCAAGTCATGGGCATGAGAAGCAACAAATTCAAGATAGAGGCAGGAAGAGTCAGGGGTCATGGTGGCTACAGTGAGTTTCAACTTCACAATATTTTGTTTCATGAGCTGGCAGGCGAGCACATGGGTGTTCATTATACTGGTCTCTGAAATATACACAATATACACAAAACCTTATCTTTTTGCCACAGCTCTTAAAACAGCAATATGCAGTACTATGGCACTAAACAAGATGCCTTGTGAATCTAATAGAAGCACTATTGGAAGAGTAGACAGATAGCAAAGGTATACTATGTACTAAGGTATAGTATGTACTATTTGCCTTGTTATATAGAGGGAGACTGTGTGTGATTATCTTTGCTGATTGTAATAGAATAAGAGCAACTGTAATTCTATAGATGTATTCCGGGTGCCAGGGAATCTGTTGATTTTCTGTAATAAAGATTTGGCATATAGAATCACCATTGTGAGTGGTACCACTGTGTGGTTAAGTTTGCAATAGTCCACTGCAACAGCGATTTTCAACCAGTGTGTTGTAAGAATTTTTAAAACATGCAATGCCTATTTAGTCAGATGCACTAACCACTTCCTCCTTAGATGGTCAAATAAAAAAATGACAATAACCAATACAATAGTAGCCATCCAATGTGAATGAATCAAAGCATACCTATTTTTTGTCACATTGGGACAAAAATATATTTTTTGGTGTGCTGCAGAATTTTAGTAATTGGTTTATGTGTGCCATGAGATGAAAGCGTTGATAATTACTCGCTGGTCTACAGTTATTATCCATAAGCCATTTAGCATTTACACTAGCTAAATAGACAAGGATGGGGTCACAATTATGACCACTGAATTTTGTATTGATTGTAACATAAATTTCGGTAGTATCCCAGTCACTTAAATTTCTTTTTGGCTTATTATCTTGCTAGTTTCATGGACTTCCACTTGGCCCTGGCTACCATGATAGCTCTAAATCTTTGGGTCAGAAAACCAATGTAGTGAATTTGAGACTTTCTAAGTGTATTGATTTTTTTAAAAAATATGTTTTATTGAATTTTTTAGAGGGAGAGGAAAAGAGCTGGATAGAGAGATAGAAATCTTGATAAGAGTAAAACACCAATTGGCTGCCTCCTGCATGCACCCCACTGGGGATCGAGCCCACAACCCGGGCATGTGCCCTGACTGGGAATTGAAAGTGTGACTTCTTAGTTCATGGCTGATGCTCAACATTGGCCAAGCTAAGTGTATGGATTTGTACTCCATCTTTTGGAACTGGAGAATTACCTATAGCATCAGTCTGCCGTCCTAATGCTGCTACTCTGAGATACACTTGGGCCAGGACTTTATTATCTTGACCTTTCTAATATTTATTCTGATCTATGTGCGATGGTAGTATTTGAGGTCTTTGGAGATCAGCATTAGTTTTAAGTCCAGATCTAATAAACCACAAAAATCTTTTTCCACTCCTGCCAGTTACCTTGATAGATAGCCCGGGTTCCTTTGCGTGAAGGCTTAACAAAAAGTTCATGGAATATGTTTTGATGGCATTGCTGGGTCCTTTCTCTAGGGCAGTGATGGCGAAACTTTTGAGCTCGGCGTGTCAGCATTTTGAAAAACCCTAGCTTAACTCTGGTGCCGTGTCACATATAGAAATTTTTTGATATTTGCAACCATAGTAAAACAAAGATTTATATTTTTGATATTTATTTTATATATTTGAATGCCATTTAACAAAGAAAAATCAACCAAAAGAATGAGTTTGCATGTCACCTCTGACACGCTTGGCATAGGTTCACCATCACTGCTCTAGGGACATAGCCATGGCCTCCCCCTCAACTGGGGGAGCCAAATACGTGAATTAATTTAGGTCTAGTGACTGGGTAAGTGTTTTTGAATTATCACTTTAGCAAATTCTTTCATGTTTCTGCCAACAGACTTAGATATGTTTATATTTTAAATTATCATTGGTATCGGCATCTTCCCCTGTCATCTTTGTCCTATGAACACCAGCCAAAACAGAGCTCTTCTAGGATACAAGTGCATACGCTCATCAATGGATTGTTTAATGCCTTAGTGAAGGAAAGAGTTTGTTTTAAAAGCTTTGAATACATTTATTCATAAGTTGCACAAAAGCTTTTAGCACATGTTACCAATTATGATGACTAAAGAATTTATTAGATTCAGCATTATATTTTTAATTTATAGTTCACAGATACTAAATGTACTGTTTTTGTTACCTGGTTTTCTTTATTCAGATATCCTCACATTGAATGGATGAAAGAGGACATAGTCAATAGAAGATTTTTTTTTCAAAATTTATTTGATCATTTAGAAAAAGACAATGGCATTTTTACAGTAGTTTTTAAGTGGAGTCACTTTGCTCTTGAGATGAAGAATCAGCCTTAAAATGTGTTTTATTTAATTGAAGAAGGGCATTCACAGGTGGCCTGGCATTTTGCTTTTGTGAGTGTGTGATCACACCCTACTTGTCTGACCAAATATTCACAATTCGTTATCTTATCCACCTTCATGCAGGGATTGGCTAAAATGAAATAAAAAGTAAATTAAATGCTGCTTCTTGGATTGAAGGATCAGTTATCCAAAACTACATTATCTCAGGGGAAACCCATTTATTCTTTATATACTCTATTATTCAAAGCTCACCACACACATGGGGGTTAATAGCCTTAAACTGCTTAATAAATATACCTGATGTGGCAGACAGAGTTCACACACCCAGGACTTTATGACATCAAATAAATTTCACTATCATGTTCCAACAAGGTGCATAGTAACAAAATAACAAAATAAAATAATTATTTTTTTTATTTTTAACAATATATTTCAGGCGCTACTTATTTAGCCCTGTGGGTATGAGTGCTGCCATATCTACTTGTGAAATGAATAGATTGTACAAAGGGGCAAGGGCAGCAAATGGAAGACAAATCCTACTCATACCCCATTTACCAAACCATACAAATGATTAGTATCCTATCCCAGCAGTAGCTCTGGTGGATATATTTATATGTGTATGTAGTGTCTGGGGATTCCTAGAAGACTGGCAGGAACATTTAATGCATGCGCTTGAAGCACTCCAAAGTTCTTTTGTAGGTGCTTGCTTCCCAGGAAATGCAGCTGTGAGGAAGGAAGCAAGTGGTGTAGTTGGCAGAATATGTGAGTGTATGCTAGTGTGTGAGTGTGACTGTGTGTGTGTGTGTGACTGTGTGTGTGTGTGACTGTGTGTGTGTGTGTGTGTGACTGTGTGTGTGTGTAGGGGTGGCCATACTGAAGAGAACAACATGGAGTTTCCCTTTATTTTGTTCCCTGGCTTTTATTTAGGAGCAACAGCAAATCAAGCCTGAGCCTCTCTGAGGTTGTATAGTGAGTTTCAAGTAATTTTACCTTTCACCACCCTGACTGAGAACTGACTACTAGAAGGGCTTAAAGGGCAATTTCATCTCCACACTGGCATGGTTTATTTTGCTTTGCATGACTACCTCAAAGTCTATCTTAATTTAGTAGTCATCACTCTCAAATGGTAGCTGAAATTACCACTTTCATTTTTAGCTCTCTTTTTTTTTAAAAAAAAAAATGTTTTTATTGATTTCAGAGAGAGGAAGGGAGAGGGTGAGAGAGGAGCATCAATGATGAGAGAAAATCATTGATCAGCTGTCTTCTGCATGCCCCCCATTGGGCATCAAGCCTGCAACCTGGGCATATGTCCTGACTGGGAATCAAACCATGACCTCCTGGTTCATGGGTCAATGCTCAATCACTGAGCCACACCAACTGGGCTTTAGCTCCATTTTTATTGCCAAGATCAAAAAGACTGAAGTAGGAAAGGGGGTGGGGGGCAGAAGCAGAATGAGGTCATCCATATATCAGGGCAGATTCTGAGACTGTTATACTCAGCAAGGTCATGCCCATGTAGACATTAGCACATAAAGATGCAGAATGAATAGTACTTACTGCAAAGCCCATTATCACAATGATGAGGGCAGTCTTGACATGGTCTCCCTATTTTGTATGGGGTCCTGATGGTATTAAACACGTTCCCGCTGGCGATGGAATATTTGAAAGACAGAAACAGTGACAACACGAAGTAATATAGTATCATGCCATGGGAGAAAAATACATAGCAAGAGTCACATGTTATAAAATGGAGACATTTATGAAGGTTAGGTCCACAAAGAAAATTTTAAGGTAAATTGGTAGGATTTAAATATATGCAGAAAAAAGAAGATGGGGTTCCACTATCTTCACAGTAAATCAAAGGTATGCCACCAGAAGACAGGTTTGTAGCAAGGTTCCTAAGAATTTTTGGATTTGGCATCTCACAGAGTATTTCTTACTTCTGTACTGGATGAATTTTTATTTCATTGAGAATCTAATATGTGCCATGAGCTATGCTAAGCACTTAAAATAGCTTATTATGTCTAATTCTCAGGAAAAAAAAAACACTGCAAGAAATGTATTGCCATTGTCTCTTTTAGATAAGGAAAAAGGAACTCCAAGTTGCTAAGTTATTGATGAACTGAAGGTCACACAACTAGTAAGTGACAAAGCCAACATTTATTCTTGAGCCTTGTGGACCACAGAGCCCATTCTTTCTGGACTTTGCTACCAATATCTCCATGGCTCTTTCAATCCTTAGAATGCACTGCTTGGCCTTTCCAGTCTTTTCCAATTTTCTCCTTTCTTCAAAACCACCCTCAAAGCTCTCCATGAAGCTACCTTAGAACCTCAGATTGATGAAAGGGGTTGGATTATAGCTCAAGGTGCAGGCCATTTGGCCTACCATCTGCCCAAAGTGGCCCTCTGGGCTATACTTACGCAGGGCAATACTGGCAAACATAGTAATACTGAAAGCGGCTGTGAGGACAATGGGCTAATGCACAGCCAAGTTGGTGGGAAGTGGCCCAAACGAGCTGTAAGAGAAAAGTTTAAAATAGTATTTTTAATTAAGCTCATGCTGTTCACATTGTAGGCTTTGTTTCCTAATTGCTTATTAGATGTTATCAATGAAGGGAATTTTAAAAACTGAAAAATGTTGCCTTCAGTTTTTTTTAAATTTATAAACTTGATGAGTATTCTTTTAAAATATCTCTTCCAGCTATGGGGGTTCATTTAACATCCAACAAGCTTTATATATTCATGATACATTTTTATAACAGTGAATCACACTAAATTCATAAATATATGGACAATGGCATGCTGGGCAATAAGGGGATAGTCACTTAAGGACAATTTGATTTTTGCAGGAAAAGAGAAGAAACTATTGATCTTGGTGTGTGTGTGTGTGTGTGTGTGTGTGTGTGTGTGTGTGTAGATAATCTTAGGGGACCAAGATATATAATACAAAAATACTTATTGAACGACTAAAAATAACTTGCATATATGAGTTAATTTTTTTTATTATTTTTCTCTTCAGTGTTTCATCCTGTGATAGTCTAGAGAAAATAGCTTGAGACTTGTTCAAAGTGTTGCTTAAATATAATTAATGTCATTCATTACTTTATTCTCAGAGCTGTCATTTAAAAAATCCATTGTGGTAAATTGAGATCACAATAAGCAGATGAAGTTGGTGGGTACCCAAGAGATAATGGGTTGATGTTTATGTACATTAATGGGTAGCACATACTTTGTAAATAGGGCAGCTTTTACACTCACATATAGGTTGCATAGCTAAGATGTATGCTTAGCATCTCCAGAATAAACGGCGCAGAATAAATAATTCTGGGAGGGTAGTTGAAAAAAAAACATTAAACTTTTGTCATTACATTTTTACCTGGGTGTAATGGCCAGTTGCAGCATTTACTCGCGTACTTCCATATCCATATTTGAAATCTTTAACTTCATCATAAAGAGATTGGATTGCTTCTGACCATGATCTGGGACTACTGGACATGTATAAATTCTCTCCACAACCAATGGCTAAAAATTAGAAAAGACAATGAAAAAATAGTGAAACCAGTAGTTTCAAATAATTCTCATAGAAAACTATTAGAATATTATGTTTTAGTTTTTGTGATCAATATCACCTTCAAAATCTTTCACTGACTGATTGAATAAATCTAATTTCAATTTCCAAAGCTCAGTTCTATGAATTGGAATCACTCCCTCCCAACCACATATGAATAGCATTTTAAAAATATGTAAATAATGATTCATTTTCAAGCTGATGGTGTAGGTTAACACAGTCACAGATCCCATTTTGGCAACACTAGTAAATGAATTAACAAACAGTAAGTATTTATTATTATCTGCTATGCCTTCATAGTATGCATATAGGGGACATGATTTTGACCTTCCGCTCTTTAGCTAGAGAATTAAGAGGAGCACATGTGAAGCAGACAGCAAATAGATCAGACATAAGATGGTATATCCCGTAGGAAAATGAAATCAAAGCCATGAATGCAAGAGCGGTGGCGAGGAGGCCCATCAGATTTTAGCAAAAAAGTGTAAGACAGGATTGGGTACGGTGGGCTTGCAGAGTGAAGCAAACTGAGGGCCTCGAAAGTAAGGTAGAGAGTTAATTCTTCATGAACATAATTTACACTTATGCCCTGGAAAGTTATATTAAAATAAATAATTCTTTTCACCAGGAATTTATAGTCTGGTAAATTTGACTACAATGTAATAAGTGAGAGGATTTTTTGTTTGTTTGTTTGTTTTTAGATTTCAGGAATAAACTTGGCTTGTGACTAAATAAGAATGACGAGTATCTACATGAACTGAAGTTCAGAAAAAAAAAATTAAAACAATGTTTTTTGTTGTCTCCTCCTCCTTCCCCTATAGCTTTTGCCTTGGATCTCTAACTTAGAGTCATTTTCTTTTTTCTTGGAGTAGCAGGAGTAATGACATTTTAGGACAAGAGTTTTAAAAAAAGAAAACAAAGGAATATAAGAAAGGAAGCAAAAGGAAGCAAGGTTCCTGTGTGAGAGGATAGGTCATGATGTTAAAACCAACAGACAAAATCTCCATCACCATTCCCAAGCTGCCATAGCTCACCGCTTCAGTGAATTTTAGCTTAATTTTTGGTTTTTATTGATTGATGAAGTGTGACTTACAGCTGATTCGTCGTTCAGATGCAGGACTGTGAGACAAGGTACACTTGCTTGCCCAGTTTGCAGCATTCCTTGCAACTACGTCATTCCATGTCTTGATGTAAATGACAAACATTTGAAAACATATAAAAATATTAGGTATTCATGACACAATCATGATGTATATGATCACATTTAAAACAAATGCCTATTTGATGAATTGTTTTCTAGTATTTCTTATTTTTCCATTGTTCTACCAAAAGATACATTTCTTGCTTTTCTAAATCACTTAATTATAAGGAAGCACATTACCATATGGGGTCACAGATTAAATATTTTAGGGAAAAAATATTTTAAACCCAATTAAGTGGATAAGCACAGCTTGTGGTTATGGATATTTAATTAGAAATGAGAACTAAGTATGTGCTGTTTTTCTCAAAATGTCTGTTGCCTTTGCACCAGTCTTCATATACATTAATATATTGCCAGATGCTATAACAAGCATTAATAAGTTTGTGCTGTACTAAATAAAATAAAACAAGGTGAAGTACAAAATATGGGGAAAAATAAATGTCTACCCTTATCTCATATGCAAAAATAGGAAAGATATAGGAAAATAAATCCAAATAGGAATTGAGTGTTAGCATAATTCAGATAAGTTAAACCAAAATTACTATACATTACTTCCTAGAGAGAGGGGGGAAAGTTCCAGTCTAAGATGAAGAGATGTTCAGAACAGAGCAGACAGCCTGTACCTTTGAGAAGGCAATGTCAATTAGCTATTATGGTCAGGAGGTATTTGTCCTGTACATTGGGCACAACATACTTCCTCAGAAATAAAGCTAAACATACGGGTCAGTAGGAAAATTCCTTCCTATAGTCTAGATTTAGCAACAACTTTCATAGTGTCTCAGCAATGGCATGAACCAGAAAGATAATGGATTCTATTTCTCATTTATTATAGGACTCTCTTCCAAAAAAATATACATTTTGTCTGCAATGGACATATATGTTCAGTACCTCCTAAGACAGCTAATTTCTAAATAGACTTTTTTAAAAATCTCTTGAGGTATATACAGTATAACTTCCAAATACCTATGATTTGTTAATTCTAGATCAGCCTTTTGAGGAAATTCAGAACACATTTAATTCATCATATGATAGCACTTTAAATACTTAAATGGGAAGAGAAACAGTAACTACATTTTATTGAACATCTCATATGTTAATGGAATTTTATTTACAATGGCATTTCTATACTGATCCTCACAAAGGTTAGCAAAGTTTAATGATCATTTCCACTAATAGCCAAGAAAGCTGAGGCTCCTTCAGATTAAGTAATTAGCCTAGAGTCAGTGATCATATTCTCCTGGGATAATATTTAAATACCTCAGACTGCCTCACCTTTCAGTTTCCAGGCTCCCCACCATGCTAATCAACACTTTCTGTGTATGCTCCCTTTCATAATGTATTGCCTACACCCATACACATTCTATAACATATGACCTGACCATAGCTGAAGAGCAGTGCTACCCTCTTAACATGTTTATTAATATTAATAGTAGGAAGAAAGCAAAGGGAAGGTCAGACATTATAGGCATGGTCAACTGGGCAGCTTAACCAGGAAGCTGCAACTTTACACTCCCCAGGGAGCCAGCAGTCCATTCTCTGCAAATCACTGGGGGAAGGAAGCTGGGCACATGTGCAGTGAAGTTGGGGTGATGTAGGGAAGGTACTAACTTGGGGAAAAGACAATTGGCTAAAAAGGCAGAGACACTGCAAACAAGTGAAATCCTGAAGGGTTGATTGGTTAAGCTCCTGGCTATAATCCCCAGACAAAGAATTCTCTCTTCCTTGTTTCCTCTTGCTTGTTCCTCTTGCTTGTTTGCTCTTGTGCTCTTGCTCCCTGCTTTCTCTTGCTCCTTGACCATCACTCACTGTGCACTCCCAAAGCCATGTAGATTTATCAGCTGCATGGCCCATGGACATAGGGACCCTACAGGCAATGGACTGCAGCTGGGAACACAAGCTGACCTAGCCAGATGCTGGACTGCACTGGACTGTGCTTTAATACGGGGCAGAAATGCTAGGCAGTGGCTTAAATTCTAGCTCTGATGAAGATAAGGCTGGACTTTTTCCATGGTGAGATGAAGGGAAATGAGACCTTGGAAACCCAGGGGTTTAATTCCATGCAAGTAAATAGCACTCGTTTTCCTGTACGAGTCTCAGAAAATTCCTTTTCTCATGACATCACAAGAATTCCACTTCCACCAGTAGCAGGTGGGAACACAGAGGGTACCCCACCAATAACAGAAAGAATATAATTTTTAGACCCATACACCATATTTTATTATATAGTTTAAGTTTTTATTAGTTGTTTAGCATCTAATTACTCAAGTAATATAATTTACAAGGCTTCTTTCACTGCCCATTAATTATACTTCCATCCTTTATTGAGAGTCAATGTTTTCCAGTTCAAATGCAGTGTTACATTTAACTACCAACCAATATGGTAACTTTTCTAGGGAAATAAAGAGATTAGAGTATTTTACATAGATAGATCATAGTTTAATATTCATTGTTACGTGGTTAGATGCTAATTGATAACAATCTATCAATCAGACAGGACTTACCATTTTAAGCATGTTCCTGGCACTGGGACTTGCCATCCTTCTAAGGTCATTGTGCTTATTAATAATCTCCATTTGGACTGATGGATGTTGAGTCAAAAAAGAGAAAACTGAAGTATTTGACTTTAAAATGAAGCAAAAAATAAGAACAATGTTACAATATTGAAAATCAAGATAATGAAACAACTGATTTATTTCAACATGGAAGTTAAAAAAATGTTGAGTTTTGGGTTCTTCAACTTTACCATCAAACTCACCCAGAGGGCTTGTTAGCATACAGATTGCTGGGCTCTACCCTGCAGAGTTGTTGTTTTTTTGTTTTTAAATATATTTGTATTGATTTAAGAGAGGAAGGGAGAGGGAGAAAGAGATAGAAATATCAATAATGAGATGAAATCAGTGATTGGCCTCCTCTTGCAAGCCCCCCACTTGGGATCAGGCCCACAACCTGGGCATGTGCCTTTGACTGGAATCAAACCTGGGACCCAGTGGATAGAGAGCAGGTCAAAACTCTATCCACTGAGCCAAATCAGCTATGGCCACCCCTCAGAGTTTTTGATTCAGGAAGATTAGGTAGGGCCAACAAGTTCTCAGGGATCATAATTTGGTATTCTACTAGTAAGTCATAGAATTTTTGTGGGGAACTTGAAAGTGTCCTTTTGAATATCAACATTTGCTCTGCCTTTAACAATAGATTAATTGATGTATAAACTTTACACATGACCTTATCTGATAACATGAAAGAATTTAAAGCCATATCAGCAGCCTAATTAGTACCAGAAAGTTCCAATAGAACAAAACAACAGTACCTGGAATTCTGCAAAACCAAAATTTGAGCTAAATGATATCCAGCAAAAATATTTACTCACACTTCAGAAAATTTTAGGATATATGTATAGAGGCCTGGTGCACAAATTTGTGCATGGGTGGGGTCCCTTGGACTGGCTGGCAATCGGGGCCAATTGGGGCCAGCAAGCCAGGAGGAGGGACTACAGGAGGTTGGCCAGCCATGGGAGGTTGGCTGTGGGAGTGCACTGACCACCAGGGGGCAGCTCCTGCATTGAGCATCTGCCCCCTCATGGTCAGTGAGTGTCATAGCAACTGGTTGACTGGTCATTTGGTCAACTGGTAGTTCAGTTGACTGGACGTAACAGTCACTTCGGCTTTTATATATATAGATAATATTATATATATGACTGTAGTATATTGATATATTATTTAGATGAAAAAATATGCCCTAACCAGTTTGGCTCGGTGGATAGAGCATCAGTCTGCAGACTGAAGGGTCCCGGGTTTGGTTCCGGTCAAGGGCATGTACCTTGGTTGTGGGCACATCCCCAGTAGGGGGTATGCAGGAGGCAACTGATTGATATTTATCTCTCATTGATGTTTCTGGCTCTCTATCCCTCTCCCTTCCTTTCTGTAAAAAATCAATAAAATATGTGTGTGTGTTTTTTAAATATGTGGTGTATCTGCCAACTATATTCAGTATCTTGTAAAGATTCTGAATTGTGTGCACACTTATGTTTAAGCCAACCTCAAAAATTATCCTTTTCTGTCTTAATAAGAGCATAATTAGAAGGCAATGTATTTTTTAATGAAAAAAATATGCTGAAAGAAACCCTGGAAATCATTTAGTAAATTCTACTCTGGCTCTTCTCTGTTTACTATGCCACTGGACTAGTGCCCTCTCTACCCTTCTCTGCCCCATCCCCTGGCCTGGAGCTGACCCTCTGGCTTGCACCACCTAGGCTCCCTTGTCTTGTGCTTTCTGGATGGATTGATCCAAAGTGAGGCACAGGAAAAACAGAGGGTGGGAAGAAGTAGAGGTCACAGCTTTTCCTGCTCACTTCCTTCTTACTTTCACACTCCATCTCTGAGAGGAGATAGCTCCATTTTGATCCTGGTGTTATTTCTTCCTTTAGTCCAGCAGGCCTAGCAATTAAAAGGCTTTCCATGGCCACTAGTAGCTATTTTGTTCCTTTAACCCTGATCCTTCCTCTATAAATATTGCTTTGTTACTGCTCATTCATTAAAAGCATCTGTGTTGAAGAAAGAAATGGTAATTATGTGATAAGATGGAGGTATTAGCTATGGTGGTAATCAGTTTGCAGTATGTAAGTGTATCAAAACATTACTGAGAAAATTTAAATTACACAGTTATGTGTCAATTATCCTATATAATAAAAGCCTAATATGCTAACTGTCCGGTTGGCCATTCAACCAATCAAAGAGTAATATGCTAATGATATGCTAAGGCCACTCAACCACTCACTATGAGGAGCACTGACCAGCAGGGGGCAGACAGTTGACTGGTTGACCAGTTGCTATGATGTGCACTGACCACCAGGGGGTAGATGCTCTGTCTGGTAGGTTAGCTTGCTGTTGGGGACCAGCTGATCGGGACTGAGCAAGATGGGCCGGACATGCCCTAGAGCCCTCCCACAGTCCCTCCCCAACTGGCCAACCTCCCACATCCCTCCCTGGCCTTGATCATGCACCAGTTTGGTCCCTTGGCCTAGCCTGCACCATTTCACAATCCGGGAACCCTGGGGGAATGTCAGAGAGCTATTTTTTGGCTAGGCTGAGAGACCCTACTGGTGCATGAATTCTTGCACTGGGCCTTTAGTATCTCAATAAAGCTGGAACAACACCAAACAAGACATCTGTGTTGAATTCCCTGTCTAGACTCTGAGTGAAAAAAAGCTCTCTTATTTTCACTCATTAATAAAACCGAGAATCAGAAAGGTTAGCTGAATTATGTAAGGATCTCTTTTTTTCATTGTAGCCTAAAGCTGATTACTTTAAATTTGGAAGTGCAAGTTAATAAACAGACAACATATCCCTTGTGCTTATAGGTTCTATTTTAATAATGAGAGCAACATATGAAAGCTACCATCATATCCTTAGAAAATAGCTTCCACATTAAGCATTTCGCTATTAGTACACTCATGTGTCTTTCTTACTTTTTGGATCTATTGATGATCTTTTTAAGCCCTGGTTGCTTACTGCAACCTTTCACTTAGACATCACCTAGCATTCACCTTCTCATATGCACTAGTATTGCCTTTCCAATTACAACATTAACAAACTCGGCAGTAAAAACAGTGATTTATGGTTTCAAGTGCTGTGTGGACAGTGAGAGCTGAGTGTCAAAAATACCTTTAAATATGTAACTCACACCATTGACAAAAGAAGCCAAAGCAAAGAATAACTGAGATCCTTGGAGGGTGCAATGGATTTTCTGGAAGTCAACACACTGTGAGTACTAAGTAGCTGATTCATTACAATCAACCCTGGTGATGCTCATAATAAGGTCACATTTTCTTTCTTTGCATCTTTTAATATGTAAAATAATTTTAATTTTTACACTTCATGGAAGTACTATTATAGAATTCAGTTCTCAAAGCAATGCATTGTGGTAAGATTTATTATCCCCACTGAGAATTGAAATAAAAAAATAAAAAACAAGGTTCATGGATATTCCAGACCAGATAAGCCACGCCTTAGTTGGCATTGCCCAGAATAAATGGCTACATTGACCAAAACTGTATGCCATTTTAGAGACTAGGACCCTGAAAATTAAACATGTTAAAGTTCTCCGATCTAAACTTATAAAATCATGTGAGCCCAAAACCCAGAACTTGAACCAAATTCTATGACACTAACTAAATCCCAGGGTCTTTCTAAGTCAACTAACTGGTCCTGGAATGCACTGCTAGAACTAAGGAAATAGCACTTCTAAACTTTAGACTAGGAAACAGCATTTCCAAACTTTCAACTTCTTCCCACGTGTGAATACCAATCACTCCATGTGGTTGGTGACTATACTAAGAAAACTTTGTAGGCAAATAACTCAATGAAACTTGTTTTTACTTATCTTCTTTTGAGAAATATGGAAGTTGCATCATTCTTTTTGGTTTCCTCAAATAACTTGCTAGTCTTTAAAAAAGATTCAGTTCTTTAGAAGCAAAAATGATCCCTTTAAATAAATACAAAGTCAGATTATAAGAATATTCTGCCTTCCTTTTTCCAGCTTGGTCTTATAGTCCACATGCCAGGACTTCTCTCCCAAAGAGGATAAAAGGAAGTGGAACCTTAGAAGCCAAATTTTGCGCTGCTTGATTGAATTTCCCCACTTACTAAGGAGAAGGATATGGCTTTCTCCTCTCAAAGCTTCCACTTTCTCCTCTCATGTTACACTTGCTTCTCAACCTAATGCACTCCGTCTTCTGTCCTCACCACCCCGCTGAACTGGCATTTGCCAAGATCATCACAACCTCATCGGTGGTAAATCTAATGGAAACCTCTCCTTCTTTACCTTACCTGTCTAGGTGGCACTGGGAAATGTTGCATACATTCTTCTTGCCCTTGGCTTTGTGATGCTGCTATTTCTTCTCTTTCTTCTCACCCTCCTTCCTTTTCAGCTTCCCTTTCTCTGGTTCACCCTTAAATTTTGGTATTCTGCACAATTCTTTCCCTTTTCACTTTATAGTTTTTCCACTTTTGTGGTTTCTTTCCATCCCCACTTTTGTAGTTTCAATGCCACGTGTGTGCCAATGACCCTAACCCTCTTATCTCCAGCTCAGATCCTATCCACGCCTCACCTGAAACCTACCTGCCCCAGAGGAATCCATCTTTGGCTTCTCTCAGAGCCTGATTATCATCAGGTGCTTCCCATTCCAGGTGATGTCATCACCAATCTCCCAGGGATACAGATGAGAAATTGCCACCTTCTCCTCACATTCCCTGTCTAACCCATGTCTGTCCTGTGGCTTCTAACATAGATTGGAAAAGTAGCCGAATAGTGCTTTGGAATTAAGCACTATTTGGAATTAATTCTCAGAATTAAGTACAGGCCACTATCATAGTTTATCACCTACATTACTGAACAAGTTCCCAACTAGTCTCTGCCTGCAGTCTTGCTCCCTGCCATGTGATGGAGTGATCTTTCTGAAATGCAAATCTCTCTATCACCCTCTATTCAGACCCTCCCTGATTGCACTTAAAATTGCTTATAAGGCCCCTGGGACCTGGGCCTGCTCTTACTACTCCAGCCTCATCCCCTATTGCAGTGGTTCTCAACCCTCTGGCCCTTTAAATACAGTTCCTCATGTTGTGACCCAACCATAAAATTATGTTCGTTGCTACTTCATAACTGTAATGTTGTTACTGTTATGAATCGTAATGTAAATACCTGATATGAAGGATGGTCTTAGGCGACCCCTGTGAAAAGGTCGTTCGGCCGCCAAAGGGGTCACGATCCACAGGTTGAGAACCACTGCCTATTGCATCTCTTCTAACCACACCAAAAAATATTGTCTCTTACCTTTTTTTAAAAAAATATATATTTTATTGATTTTTTACAGTGAGGAAGGGAGAGAGATAGAGAGTTAGAAGCATCAATCAGCTGCCTCCTGCACATCTCCTACTGGGGATGTGCCCACAACCCAGGTACATGCCCTTGACTGGAATCGAACCTGGGACCTTTCAGCCTGCAAGCCCACACTCTATCCACTGAGCCAAACCGGTTTCAGCTGTCTTTTACCTCTTCTTACTCCAAACTGACTTATGCCCAAACTCCCATGCTCTCTTATCTGTTACACTTCAACTAGATGCAACTTTCTCTTCAAGTACATTCCCTTCTCCACCTCTATCTTCTCTCATTATTGGTCTAAATCCTACTAATTATATTATCATAAGGACTAAATGAGATGAAAAAGACAAAATGCTTAGAATATTTTTTAAATAGCAATGCTCAGTAATAACATTCTTCAGAACCTCATTTTAACCTTCACAATGCACTTGTCATACTTTTCAAGTTACCTGTTGACTCATTCATCCTCTACTACTCTGAGGTGTTATGTGGGCAGTCCTATGCTAATCTAATTTATTGCACTATTCCCAGCATCTGGCACCATGTTTCATAGAGTAGACACTAAATAAGTGGTTGATGAATTGAACGAAATTAAAATGTGTTAAGCTAACCTTAGGAAGCAAAAATGATAGCTTCATATTTGTTTAGGACAGTGGGTCTCAACCTTGGCTGCACATTAGAATCACCTGGGAATCTTTTTAAAATCCTGATTTCTGGGCCTCATCCTCCGGAAATTCTGTTTCTTTGTTACTAATGTTGTGGCCTCACCCCATAACAAAGAACCATCATTGTTGCTGATGTCCATTCACCATGAACTATGGGTAAGATACTCTTCTTAATAGAGTTTAAAATCTATCTTATAAGTGAAATTCTTACCATGCTGGCTGCTTGTTGCAGCAGTACCATGAAGCAAATGCCCACCAGCATCATTGTCTCTGAGAAAAAAAAAATTAAGTATTTATGAGATTTATGAGTACATAAAATAGCTTACTTTATAAAAAAAACATGATGATAATTTTAAAGAATAGACTAGTATAGTTTTCTGTAATTGAAACTCTCCATAAGAATAAATTATCTTGGTCAGATAGGTTAAAAATCAGTGTCATCCTTTACCTGCAAATGTAGGTTTTATTCTTGTGTTACCCATTCCTAGACTGGAAACCAGGAATATAGTAGCAATGTTTCTTTTTTTTTTTTTTAATATATTTTATTGATTTTTTACAGAGAGGAAGGGAGAGAGATAGTCAGAAACATCGGTTTCAGCAGCAATGTTTCTTAATACTTTAGAAAGACAAGCATTTGAGACCTAACCAAAGGAAAATAGTAAAACTTCAATCTGTAATGGTTCATATCGCTGATGAGTGTCTCTGTTTCTGTTTCTTTGTTATGGGGTGCGGCCACAACATTAGTAACAAAGAAACAGAATTTCTGGAGGATGAGGCCCAGAAATCAGGATTTTAAAAAGATTCCCAGGTGATTCTAATGTGCAGCCAAGGTTGAGAACCACTGCTCTAGCCCAACCTTTAATGCACCACTGAAAAAAGTAAGTCACAGATGTGCAAGGTTATACACCAAAGTAGTAACAGTGGCTACCTCTAAAGAGTGATGGAGTAGTTCCATTACAATTTCACTCTTAGTTCCTATAATTTTCTTCTATCATCATTATTATTATTAAACAATTGCCAAGTGTTACTTTTAATAATTCCCCCTTTTACATCAAAAGTTTAATTTTGAAATACCTTTTGTTTCTATTAAGTCTTGTTCTACATCTTCTTTATGACCATCAACTATGAAAACTGGCTATCACTGGCCCTTTAGGGCCCCTGTCTGCAAAGTTGGACAACCTGCCTCCTTCAACTTATTTACCATGTGCCCTTGAGTATCCTGAGCACCCTAGTGGCTTTGTCCTGAATGTACTCCCGTTTACCTGCAACCCCATTACAAAGTGGTATGCCAACTATAAACAGAATATTCCATGCATGAGCCATCTTTTGGTTTATTTGGTGCATTACACCAAGGCAACGCTAGGAAAGTATTTTAAATAAACGCTAATAATTAATACACTCCCATTTACTAGTAGTAAAGTTGAGGATAAAATTAAAGGCTATAAAAGGTTTTTCTCCCACCAAAGATACCTCTTATCATTAAATAATGCAGCAATCGTTTTACCTGAGATAAGCAGAAGGGAGGGATAAGATGTTCCCAAGTCCCAAGGGAGATGAGCATATTTTGATCTTCAGCATGGCAGTATATATAGGGACTCAGATCACTTCTCTTTCCTGTTTGGCTTCTCTAAATTGTGCAGGACTGAAATATGTTATACTGAAAACGTCCTCAAAGATCTTATCACCTGCTTCAGAGTTAAATAAGCCCATCATTTAATTCTACAAGGAACTAAGTTAATTGCTGTCCTGCTATAATTAGGTTTAATAATGTTAGTAATGATGGGTTAGGGAAGGACTAAGCTTTACTACAAGGTTTGGAGAGTGTCACACTATTTAGCTAGGTAGTGATTTGTATATTTTTATTCTCAACAGCCTTCCATGGAATCGCTCATTGATTAGCTTTCGGTAAATTGCCTTTATGTAGTCTAATGATTATATAATACATGTTACAAAATCCAACACTATCTTCCATTATTAAAATTAATTATACTCTCTAATAGGAGATATGATTAACAGAAAATTAATTTACCTACTTTTATTATCAAATGCCACAATATCAAAATAAAATGTTCAAGTAAATTTTTAGAAATATAATGTCATTATTTAGTAAAATATCTCCCAAATATATCAAAAGGGAAAAAATAGCCTTAAAAGTAATAAATTTGTTCTAATTACTGTTAATTCCTCATGCTTTCCGATTGTGCTAATGTAAATTGGAAAAGTAACCACAGTGTTTTAGGGGGTGGGCTTTGGAGCAAGCAACTCTTGTTCATAGCCCAGCTTCACCACTCACTGAGAAAACCTAAGCATCCTCTTTAAGCCTCAATTTCCTCATCTGTAAAATGGGTAATATTAATAACCATGAAATGTTGAAATTATTATTAAATAACTTAATTCATTTAAAACACCCAGTGCTTGCAATGTTATAAGCACTTATTGATTGTTATCATTATATTTTGCTAATTTTTAATTGATTTGCTAATAACACTGGACAAAGCAAGATACTATGAAGAATATAAAGAAGTAAATGTGGAAGTGTTGTCGATGGCGGGAAGGGGACCTGGTGTCTGACCAGTGGCGTCAGACTGGACCTTGGTTCTTGAGTTCTGGCTAGGAAAGAATTCAGAGCCAAGACTCCAACTATAAGGGAACATTTATTGGGTAAATCACAGGTAGTAATTTGTAGAAGGAATGGGCTTAGGAAACAAGTTATAGGTAAAATGGAAGGGCCCTTGGAGCTTGGGAGTAAGGTAGGTAATGGCAATGCACCTGGGGCAGGGGTGAGAGGGTAAGGGAGAGAGAAGGGAAAAGCTTGGGTATTCTCCCAGGGGAGGGCGAGGGCACTGGATCCTTTGTCCTAAGGTTTTAAGGGTGAAGATTTCAGGGGAGGTCACAGGGGAAAATCTTAATTCAGCAGCTTTCCAGGTGTATACTTTCAGGGTCTAGGTCTCCACTGATTGGTTGGTCGGCACTGGGGCAGGGGTCCTTATTCAATGCTGTTGATCCTGAAGTCAGCCATGTCCGCTTTGTTGCTTTTCTGGGCCTGGAACTGAAATACAACTGATGCCTAGATGTCATCTCTAGGAAGGAAAGGTCAGGGGGTCCTAAACCACATGACCAGTGATATTCTAGGGGAGGAAGGGTCACCCTGGGGGCAAGGTCCCACCCTGTAATCAATCCTCCTTTGCTAGGTATCCAAGGCTTTCCTCCTGGATGACCTTCTCTATCTGGCCCATCGTCCTTGCTCTGCTCAGGTCTTAACTGCCTACCACAGAAAGAGTGATAGCAACAGGGCAGCACAGATGTTTCTCCTTTATATCCCCCTTTTTAATCAATAGATTAGACATCCAGACTTGAACAAAAACAGCATTTTGGGTATTTGGGGGTCTAGTACTTTACTCCAACAGTCCTGTGAGGAATTTCACCTACCAGTGCAGCTGGCAAGATACTGATAAACCTCAGTATCAGCTGTGAAACATAATAGATTCAATGCAATCTCTATCAGAATCCTAATGACTTTGTTCTCCCAAATAGAAAAAGCAATCCTAAAATTTGTATGGAACCACAAAAGACCCTGAATAGCTAAAGCAATAATGAGATAGAAGAACATGGCCCAGGAGATAGTTGGACAGTCTAGTATTAGAAATTTATAGCAGTCTCTCAACAGCAGATTAAAACATCAGGTAAATGAAGTTGAACATTCAACTACCATGATGCATGTAGGAAAGCACAATTCAGGGAGGTAGCATAGCAGGAAATGAAAAGGAAGGGATACAATTTACAAAAGGAAAAGAAAGATAGAAAAACACAGTCAGAGGCATCACAGTTTCTCATTTTAAGTTATACTACAAAGCTATTGTAATTAAAACAGTATGGTCTGCCATAAAAATGGACCAATGGAACAGAATAGAGATCCCAGAATTAATCTATTCAACATATACAGAGAAAGACAAATTCTATATGATATCTCTTATAGTGGAATCTAAATAAAGCTGAGTCTGAAAAAAAAACAAAGAGTGGGATGGTGGTTATCAGGGGCTGAGGAATGGGAATGCAAGAGTTGTTGTTTAAGGATACCTACTTTCAACTAGTAGATAAATAAGTCCTGAAGAACTAATACATGGCGCAGTAACTCTAGACAACAAAACTGTATTATACACATTAAACTAAGCTAAGAGACTAGATCTTAATTGTTTCCATTACTAGAAGAAATAATTAAGTGACTCAACAAAGGTGTTAGCTAACACTACAATCACAATCACATTGCAATATATATGTATCAAATATGTTGTGTATTTTAATCTTATACAATGTTATATGGCAGTTATATCTCAATTTTAAAAAAGAAATTAGTTGAGAATGGCAAAATGTGATTTTTAAAGAAGAAAAATGTTTTTAAAAGTATATGTGAGATTGTACACATAATAAAATTATAGCTTATTAAGAAGACAAATTATGTACTTAAATGCCTTGTGTGATAGTTTGAAGTAAAGAGGAAACTTGGCCCATCTTTGCTTTTCCTATATTCTAAGTCAGTAAAGCTTATTGAATAAAATTATATTGTATATAACTACCTGAAATCTGATACATTTGACCTAGATTTCTTTCCTTAGATCTTTAATATTGCAAAATGTTTGCATGTACTTATTAGTTCTGACCAAACCTGTCTGACATGGTTAGATATGAGATCATTTGGGGCTAATGGGTCTATAAAATATATATATATATATATATTTATGGTAAGCAAAATGTTATAACCATAAATATTCTTAAAAGAAACTCATTTTAAGAGTTTGTTGCTCAGCAGCATGCATAATTTCATCTCCCATTCAGAATATCAATTTTACATGCTCACAAAAAAAATAGTTGTGGAGCCACCTCACAAAGAAATAGACTGTGTCATTTGAGCCCTTTGCTGATTACAGAACGTATTCTCAATGGGGAAACCACATAATTAGAAGCTGATTGGAGAAAAGTTCTGTGCTACACTTTTTAAATTTTTAAATGGGATAATTATGATTTTTGCCTTAGAGGATAGGTTGCTAAAATGAAAGGATGTAAGTTGGTATAAAGCACTTAGGACAGAGCACAAAATAGGGCTCAATAAGATCAGCTATCATAGTACCCTCCTCTTCACCTTCCTTTTGTTTCTTCTTCCTCCTCCATCTATTGGCTTATCTCTGAGTTCTAAGGTGATTCCACTGAGATATTATTTATATATGCCCTAATAATCATGAGGACCATTGAGGAATTTATTAACCCCCCCCCCCCAAGATTATTTGAGAAGAGAGAAAGTGAATGTAAAAAAGTAAAACCACTTGGTCAGGTAATGTGGAACTGTCTGTTGACATGGGGTCTCTAATGATCTTGTTGAATATTGTTTTCACTTTAGAATAAATGGAAATAATGTTACACTTCTACTTTATAGAGTTGACTACAGTAGAAATGAAATAAGAAGAAAAAAATCCCAGTTTTGCTTAAATGAAAATACTAAGAATTTCAGGACTCGTTATTTGTAATTGAGTGATCCTTCCTCTCTCTTTCTCAGTCAAGATGAGCTGTACATGGCAAAGGGCTCTGCCTCCATGAGAGCCTGCAAATCCATTTCCCCCCCATGTGATTACTAAATATTAGTTTTGGAAGGAAGAGACTTATTTTTACCTTCCATGTCAGGTAACCTATCTACTGGTTTTACAGTTAGCCATGGAGGAACAGATCCTATCCCTCTCTAAGAAATGTCATCTCTGTTGACTCTGGTCTTGGCAATTTATTGCATGTTCCATATCTCTTGACATTTGGTGGCATATTTGCAAATATAGCCAAAGAATAATGACAACAATAACCTCAAATCCATAAATTATACCAATAATAAAGTATCTCTTCATGAACTTCTAATTCAGTACTTTAAACTTTTAAAGTATTTTCTTGTGTGTGAAGTTTTCAACCTCACAGTCTGAAGCATCTTTAGCCACAAAACAGTACTGAGGATTTGAATGTTTCCCAGAGAAGGTCATCTCTGCGAATCATTTCCTCCTAAGATTATATCTGGTATTCATTCACCTCAGTGTGTATATCAGATACCAAGAACTAAGTCTCCCCTTTCTACATAGGCAGGTTAAACATGTGTTCTCTTCCATATTTTTTCATTATTGATGGAGAATCAAAATCTCAGCTCATATTGTAGTAGCAGACTGATCAAGTTAATCTACTGGGGAATTACTATTTTAACTTTAATTAAACACTTCAATATAGTTTGAGCACCTATTGTGATGAATACTACTTTAAGTGTTCTGATGAAGTTTACAATCTAGTTTGAGAGCTCAGACCTGAGTAATGAAAACAATGAAGAAAGAAATATGAATCAAGAAGCACCATAATACAGATGAATATGTGGAGAGAGCTTTCTTCTGTTTGTAGACACACACACACACACACACACACACACACACACACACACAATTGAATGAAGCTTGACCTTATAAATTTGGGAAGGAATTCATTGTAAGGAAAATACTGTGTTTCACTAAGAAACTTAACTTGAGATAGTGATAAAAGCTACAGGAGAAAAGTAAAAGTTA